CTCTTCTCCCTTGGTATTATTTCACTTTCTTATCAGCTCTCATGGATTCAATCATCGCCATGATGATTCTCAAATCTACTTATCCAGGCCTAACCACCCTCCTAAAGTCTAGTCTCACATCTTGAACTGGGTGTCCAGGAGACATCTTAAACTCAATATGTCCAAAACTGAGCTCGTTATATTTGCTCCCATACAAGCATTTCCCTCTTCCTACCTTGCCTAATACTGTAAATGGCACCACCATTCTCTCCATCACGCAGGCTCAAAACCTAAATGGTCATCCTCAACTCCTCCCTCTCTCCCACCCCACCCCCCACATTCAATCAGCTGATGCTACCTTCACAGTATCTCTCTTATATGCTCCCTTCTCTCCTCCAACAATGTCAGGAACAGGTGTAGGCAACCATCACCTCAGGGTCATTCCCGGTTCTCCCCACTTCAGTTCATCCTCCACTTAGCTTTCAAACTGATTTTCCTAAAGCATAGGTCTCTGGAAGACCTGGGTTCAAACCCAGCCTCAGACATGTATTGGCTGTGTGACTTAACTGGTTTTCCTCAGTTTGTTCAACTGCAAAATGGGGATAATAGCACCTACCTCAAAGGGTTGTTGTGAGGAACAAATAAGACAATATTGGTTTAAAAAAAAATTTAGTACAGTGCCTGGCACACAGTAGGCTATAAATAGAGTATATACACATATTTATTTATTCCCTTCCCTTTGTTTATTCTCTTCCCCTTCCTAGTCAATAAACTCCAGTGTCTCCCCATCACCTCCAGGATCAAATATGAAATCCTCTTCTTCAGCATTTAAGCTTTTTACAAGCTAACCCCTTCCTACCTTTCCAATCCTCATATACCTTACCCCCTTCTACCCACTTCCCCCAGGTACTATGCAATCCAATGACACTGGCCTCCTTTTCTGTTCCTCACACAAGGCACCGCATCTCTGGACTCTGACTTCATTTCCACCGCCTTCCCCCTACTATGCCTGGAATTCTCTCCTTCCTCATCTCTGCACCCTGGCTTCCTTCAGGCCCTAACTAAACCCCACCTTCTGTAGAGACCTTTCTCAATCCCTCTTAATGTCAGTGTCCTCCCTCTGTTAATTATCTCCAATTTATCCAGTCCATAGCTTGTTTATGCAGCATTATTTGCATGCTGTTTCCCCCAATTAGGCTTTGAGCTCCTTTGGAGCAGGGGCTGGTTTTTGCCTTAACTTGTATCCCCAGCACTTAGCACTGTGCTTGGCACATAGCAGGCATTTAATAAATAAATCCTTGTTGACCTGAGTGCCATGGCAGGATCATGCTCAGAAAGGCTGACGGTAGGATACACATGAAACTTTTCTCAATGAACTTGGGGGCAAGTTAGAAAAACAAGTTCCTTTCAATGCTCTGCTTCTCAGCTACCACCCTGAGAACAAGCAGCTGACTCACACCTTTTTTGCCTGCTGGTAATCCTGGCTGGAGGCAACACCTGTGCAAGGGTACATCAGCCTGGAATCAGAGGTGCTTGCACTCTGGGGCTAGGCCGGCCCCTGGGAAGCTGTGCATTTGCACTTCCCTAAACTCTTCCCAGCTGTGCTCTGCTGACTCTACAGAAAGCCTCCACCTGCTCCCACAGACAGCCCAGCTGCAGGGAGAGGAAAACACCTGGCTCAGGGTGCCCCACAAGCTCCGGGAACAGCTCTGAAGCACGGGGGGCTCTCTTAAGCCAGGTCAGCATTTCCATTGTTTGCCCGGGCAGGCTTAGGGCTGTGGGTTATTAGGGACCTGAAGCAGAACCAGCCACAAGCCAATGAAATACCTCAAAAGCTAGCTAGAGCTGGGATCCAGAGACTTCCAGACAAAATGTGCAGATAACTCAAGCTTCCCATCACACCCTCCCTTCCCAAACAGTAAATAACTGGTTTAAAAAAAAAAAAAAAAGCTGGGTGGGAAATGAATGTCAACACACAGAGCCTTCGGGGGTGGAAGGAAGGCCCCAGTAGTTAGGACCAGTTTTAAATTATGAGCATGGCAATTTATTTGTCTGAAAATGACAATGGGATTAACTTCCTTTTCTGTTTTTGAAGCCAGGGGCAAATTTACTCAACTAATTCTCTGGGAAGAAAATTTGCATCTCTTCCGGGCAATTTCTGGCAAGCCACAACCTCACAAGTCCTAAATTTCATCTTCAGTGAAACTAAAGTGTTGGTCTAGAACAAAAGTTCTTAACCTTTTTTGTTTTATAGACCTCTTGGGCAGTCTGGTGAAGCCTAGGGACCCCTTCTCATAATTGTTTTTAAATGCATAAAATAAAATGTACGGGATTACAAAGGAAATCCCCATACTGAAATGTAGTCGTCAAAATTAAAAAAAAAATTTACAGACCCTCCTCCACTACTAGTCCCCCATTCCAGTAATTTTTCCAACTGAAGTGCCCCTTCCAGTCCTTCTTTTTAAAGTAAGCAGCCTGATGACAGGGGCTGCTTTTTGCTTTTTGTGTTTTTATCACAGCACTCAGTGCTTGACAAAAAGCAAGGGCTTATTAATTGCTTTCCCATTCATTCATTCGGTCGATCAATCTTAAGTACAGCCTCTACCTACAAAGAATATCAAACTCAATTCAATAGGCATGTAATAAGTAGGATACCATGGGTGCAGTGTAAGACTCAAAAATGAAAAAAAAAAAAAGACTGCCCCCCCATTACATTCTACTTTAATCCAAAAGCAGTCTGTTCAATGCCAGTGGACTTTTTCCCTCCTTGCCCCCCCCAACTATTCTTTCCTTATCACTTTTTAAATAATACACTTTAATAAATATTTATTGAATGAACAAACGGCTAGCAACCCGCCAGACAAGGCTTGCCAGTTGCCCAAAGTAGGTTCATGTGCCCCATCTCACTGTATCCTCACAATACTCTTTCGTGTAAGGTGGACATGTCAGGGATAAGAATACCCAATTAACAGATAAGGAAACAGAGGCTCATAAGTTAAATGACTTGTCCAGTTAGTGTTGGAGGGGCAAATAGAACCCAAGTCCACAAGTCTACTGCTCTGTCTAGGACACCCTGAAATTCTTTACATACCCAGTTTATACTTGTTCCTATTATGAGCTCACACTTTCCTTAACTAGACATGAACTCAGCAAGGAACAAAAGATTTCATTTGCCATTTCCTCCCCACTGCCAAGCTCTGGCCATGGTTAGAGTGCAGCCCATGCTGCCGACATGGTCCACACTTGTTTTTTTCTTTGCTTCTGAAGAAAATACTAAACGCTGGAATTTGATGCATATCGATCTTTAACATTAGATGTTAAAACCAAAATCCAATCTGCTGGGAAGATAAGTCAGTCTGCACTGGTGGCCAGTTAATCTGTCTCTAAAGAGATCCCTGGCTCTGAAAAACTGAGAACTGACACAGCAATAATCTCAGACCACAGGAAGGGCAGGGTCGTCCCTTCAAACCCTCCCTGTGCCCTCAGCAACCTTAAACAAGGGACATTTTCTAGCCCTGGCACTATTCTGACAACATAACTTTATAGATCTTTTATTTCTTTTTTTGTCATCAGATGATGGAGCAACATTGGCTCTCACAGCCCCCAAGAAACAAGGAACACCTGGAGGAGCAGGACGCTTCCCTCCCCTCTAGGCCAAAGAGATAACCTTCAACTTTCTAAGAAAGGGAAAGGGATCTACTGAGTATGGGTAAGCCAGCCACCTGTCCTGCCTCTGACATCACACAGAACATTTGGAAAGCTGTCTACAAAAGGAAGAAGGGAAGGTGTGATCTCTTTGAAGGTTGGTCACCCCCAAATGACCGACCATATCAATACTGGATTTCTCTAGCCTTTGCTATAAAATCAGCTCCACACAGATAAAAACAACTATTTCGGTTTTCATAGTGTTGTAAGTCAGTGGTATCAAACTCACATAGAAAGTGGGCCACTAAACCCTACAAAAAGATTCCTGCAGGCGGCAGATTAACTTAGAAAATCAAGTTAACATTATCTATGTTGTACTGTGGTTTTATGTGTTAAATATTTCCCAATTATATTTTAATATGCTTCTGCTGCACTATGCAGGCCAGCACATTTCACACCTTTGTTTTGTGTACCAGGCACTGGCAGATTAGTTCAAGTATTAACAGGCCCATTTTATACAGGTAAGGCTCTGAGCTTAAGTGTCTAACCCAAAGTCACTTAGGGATGACAGAATTAAGATCTGAACCCATCCAGAAAAAAAAAATGGATCCCAAGTCCATTGCTTTCTCCATCATACTACACTGCTCCTATATATTTGTGACTTTGCTTTTACATAAAACAACCTCTTAGAACTATTATGGCCTGATCAAGGGCACAACTGGGGCAATACAAAACATTTCCTCTTCATCCAGAATTGGGGAGAAATAAGAGTATTCTGGTTAATTTGTTATTTTTGGTTAGCAGATTTCAAGGGTCTTGATGGATTCAGGTTTGGGGAACATTAATTCTCATCACACAAGGGAATGTAGCCATCAATGCCATCCAAAACCAGTATAGGTTCTCTTGGTGTGGGGAGTGAAGTAAGAGCAGCAGACTGACATTAGCTCCACTAATTCTAGCAGAAGCTGAGTGACCACTCGTCAGGGATATTAGAGAGAAGGAAAGAAGGAGTAAGTATTTAAACAGCACCTGCTTTGTGCCAGGCTGATGTGCACTTTACAAATATTATCTCATTTGATCCTCACAACAACCCTGGGAGGTAGGTGCTATTATTATCCTCGTTTTACAGTTTAGGAAACTGAGGCAAATGGAAGTTAAGTGACTTGCCCAGGGTCTCATACCTAGTAAAATGTCTGAGGCCTGATTTGAACTCAAGTCTTTCTGACTCCAAGCCCAGTTCTCCATCTACTGCACTGATATTAGAGAAAAGGGAATTTGGCTTAGACAGAGGTCAACCTCTGAGGTCCTTGAGACCCCAGGATTCTGTGGATGCATGCTGCCTCTCTAATATTCACTTGGGGTACTAGAGGTCATACCCTTTTTGGAAAGGTAGATCTCAAACTTCAATGGGAGGCAGCGTGGTGCGGAGGTGGAGTCAAGAGAACCTGGGTTCAAATCCCGACTGAAGGTAAGGCAGTTGATCACTTGGGCTTCGGTCTCCTCATCTATAAAACAAAAAGGTTTGAAGGGATAATCTCTAAAGTCTTTTTCAGTTAAAAATGGACTATCTATGAAATGTTCCAATGATTAAATCCCTAATAGCAAGGCATGGATTCACCAACTGTCTTGGCAAAAACAGAGCCTAGGATGTGTAAAAATCTAGACTTTATTAAAGCCCATCAGCCCCTATACATACACCGGTTTGAATTTGCCAAATTGCTTAAACTTTTTCAGCACTGTGCCAGGGTGTTGGTTTTAAATTTAATGTTTGTATCTCGATTCATACAGGCCTTAATTTCTCAGCACAAAGATTTGTTAATCCTATTACATATTCTGGTGAACAAAAGCTCCTTTTGGCTAGGAACTCCAAGCTCCCCCACCCCTACCCTAAACAACTATTCTATTCCTTCCTTCCTATCCATGGGAACGTGGGGATTTAGAATTAAGAGTCCTTGGAGATTATATAGCCAAAGCAGAACCAGAGCAGTTACCCTGCTAGCTAAGGCAGTGAGGTTAGAATCCGTTTCCTGATTCCAAATCCAGTGTTCTTTATTCTGCCCAATGTCACCACTGCAAAGTGAAGAGCAGAATTCAAGCATCTTGAGGGCAGAACTGTATCATTTTTCTCATTATACTCATACCACCTGCACGGTACTTGGTGCATAATATGTATCCCTCACCTACATCTGTTTGCCTCAGTTTCCTCATCTATAAAATGAGCTAGAGAAGGAAATGGCAAACCACTCCAGTATCTTTGCCAAGAAAACCCCAAATGAGGTTACAAAGACTTGGACACAACTGAAAAACAACTGAACAAATCACCTACACCAAAATCACAAAGATTGGTACTAGGTAGTGCTGTGGATAGAGCACTGGGCCTGGAGTCAGAAGACCTGAATTCAAATTTAGACCCAAATACTTACTCGCTATGTGCCCCTGAGCAAGTCACTTAACCTCTGTTTACCTCAGTTTTTTCATCTGTAAATTGGGGAGAATAGCACTGACCTCCCAGAGTTGTTGTGAGGACCAAATGAGAAAATAATTATGAAGTGCTTAGCATAGTTGCCTGGCAAATACTAGGTGCTATATAAATGTTAACTATTATTGTTATTAACTAATCATAACAAACACGAAACATTGTGAATCAGTCTACCCCACAATAGCTATTTGTGAGAAGAGGGGGGGAATGAGGTTTATTCCCAGTTTCAAATGATACAACTATGACAATGGAAGACTATGTGATTTGATCAGTCACCCAAAGGACTGGTTAATGATGTTGAAATCAAGATAAATCCAAATACCAAAGAGTTCATAAAAATGAGAAAAGGACCCACATGCACAAAAATATTTATCGTAGCTCTTTTTGTGGTGCCCAAGAATTGGAAATTGATGGGATGCCCATCAACTGGGGAATGGTTGAACAAGTTGTGGTATGTGAATGTAATGGACTACTATTGTTCCATAAGAAACGAAGAGCAGGCAGATTTCCGAAAAACCTGGAAAGACTTACATAAACTGATACTGAGTGAAGTGAGCAGAACCAGGAGAACATTGTACACAGTAACAGCAACCTTGTGCGATGACCAGCTTTGTTGGACTTAGCTCTTCTGAGCAATGCAAGGATCTAAGACAACTCCAAAAGACTCATGATGGAAAATGCTATCCACATCCAGAGAAAGAACTGTGGAGTCTGAATGCAGATCGAAGTATACTATTTTCTCTCTTTTTTTTTTCATTCTCATGGTTTTTCCCTTTGGTTCTAATTCTTCTTTACAGCATGACTAATGTGGAAATATGTTTAATATTATTGTACATGTATAGCCTATATCACATTGTATGCTGTCTTAGGGAGGGAGGCAGTGGAGGGAATGGGAGAAAATTTAGAACTCAAAATCTTACAGAAGTGAATGTTGAAAACTAAAAACATAACAAAACAACAACAAAAAAGGTAAATCCAAGCCTTGGAATCTGCCCGCAACATGGGGGAAAAACACTGGGCTAGACCCAGGAGAGGCAAATTGGAATCCTGGCTCCAAAATGTCCTTCCTGCATAACCATGACTTCGTCTATCATTCCACTCACCCCAGATGTACAGGTTCAATCACCCTAGATGTACAGAAGGGTTTGCTCCAGTCCCTAATATTCATGGGATCATAAATAGGGTGCTGGAAGGGACCCAGTCCTCTCATTTTAATCCTGAGGAAACAAAAGTCCAAATAAGTTAACAGACTCCCTTGAGGTGGGGATAGGGGGGGCCTAAGAGAAGGATTTGAACCCAGGTCCTCTGACTCCACTGATCTTTTCACTAAGTCAGGCTATGCTGCCTTCTAAGTGCAAGGAGCTATTTAAATAAGAAAAAAATTGCATGCATCTGGTACACTTCATTCTCCACCCCCACCCCCACCAATATTTCTAAAAATAAATGTCACTCTATTCAGGATAGATTTAATAAAACCTGAAACCTCCTTTTCCCTGTGATCTTGTGGTGTCTGAGTCAGTCTGGCATGTTCTAGGATTAATTGGTATGTAAAACAGACTCTCAGGCTGACTGTCTGTCTGTTTTCCCCCTACCTCACAGAGAGCCCTTATGTAAACAGGGTCTGGCAAATAAGCCTGTGCACAAAGAGGCCTTCCTTAGAGCAAGCCTGCAGCTTAGCACATGGCCAAGCTCTCACACCATAAATTACCTACTGGGCACTCAGGCAGGCGGCTGCGGCTGCGGCTGTGGGCAAAATCTAGGGCCAAACCATTGACACTTGAATCTGAGGAGCCCAGAGCTCCTCAGAAGAAGGGGACATGCCATCCAAGCAGTAGCTGCCCATGCATCTCTCCTACAAAGCACCAGGACAAGTGGCTACACAATCTTTTGTTGGAAAGCCCTGAGTAGGGAGAAACCCTAATTTCATCTCCAGATGCAGTAGCCCATGCCACTTTTGGATAGCTCTGGCCCTAAGGAAGTTATTCATAGGATCCTAGAAGTCAAGCTGGAAGGAATCTCTGAGACCATCTAGTTGGTCTGACCTCAACTTACAGATAAGGAAACTGAGGGCCAAAGATCTTATCTGCCCAATGTCACACAGTTCTGCCCTCTGTCCCCAAGAAAACAAGTCTATGCCACATAACAGTCCTTTAAACACTTATTAACACAACAATTATGGGTAAGGAAAGGAGGGGGCGAGTGCCCCCATTTAGTCCCTTCAAACTCATGCATTTGTATGGTTTGGTTTTCCTAACTATCCTGGTTGTCCTTCTGGGTGTGCTCCAATTTGTTGGTATTTTTCCTAAAATGTACCCCCAGAACTGAACAAAACCCTCCAAATGTAGTCCAGTCAAAGTAGAGGACCTCAGGACTATTTCTATACCTATAAGGAAAGTTTAAACCAACCTGAGAGATATAACGAAAATGTTTGTTCCCATAAATTAGGAGTAAACAGCTATAGCTAGAGAAGTAACTAAGTAAAACAGGATACAGTAGGTCCTCTCTTGTTTGCTGACAGAAGTTAGTTAATCAAAATAAAAGATTACATAAAATTGAAACAACTGCTAAAAGTAACTAGGTAAAATAAGATAAAGTTGGTCCTATCTTGTCTTGCTGATAGAAGTTAGTAAGTAGGACAAAGGTTAAGCTTTGCTTAGAGTGAGCATGCTTAATAGGCTTATAAATATTAGCTTCTCCATTTCTCGGAGTGGCTAAGATGCTATTTTCTGAACATATGATGTATGAAGAAGGAGGGACAACATGTCAAGGAGTAGATGTGCAACAGGCTTACTGGAAAGTTGTACACTCTGGAGTACTCAGCCAATGAGGAAACAGAGGAGGGACTTTGCTGCTGAGATTAGAGATAAATAGTGAACCCCTGCTTTGGTACAATGTGTCCTAGTCCACAGGACACCTGTGGTTCCAACTGCATAATTAACGGAGCTTTTAACTTTATCCCTCCTGAGTCTGAATGAGTTATTTCTCACAAACCTCTCACAAAGAACTGCAAAATCTACTTTTTTAAAAAATAAAGATGATTGAGTCTCCCTAGGTTTGATTATAACACCCTATGGAATTTGGTGTCACAACCAATCTCTTTTTTCAAAATCAATAAGTACATATTGATTACTGCCTATTTTTACAGTTGTTGCTATTACCAAGTGCCTACTATGTGCCAGTCACTGTAAAAAGTTGGCAATTCAATCACTTAAAAAATAATTTACTGAAAATCAGACTCATTCTGATCTTCGAATACCACAAAATCATAGATTTATAAGTAGAAAGGATTTGGAGGTCAGAAAGTTATACTATCATCCCTACAAGGGGCAGATAGATGGTACAGTGGATAGAGTACAAGGCCTGGAATCAGGAAGACTCATCCTCCTGAGTTCAAATCTAGCCTCAGATGCTTACGAGCTGTGTGACTCTGGGCAAGTCACTTAACCCTGTTTGCCTCAGTTTTCTCATCTGTAAATAATGAGTTGGAGGAGGAAATGGCAAACCAGTTCAGTATCTCTGCCAAGAAAACCCCAAATGAGGTCACAGAGTTAGTCAAACATGACTGAAACAACTGAAAAGTGCTTACTATGTGCCAGGCCCTGAAAAAGTTGGTAATTCAATCACTTAAAAAACAACTTACTGAAAATCACACTAATTTTGATCTTTAAATACCACAGAATCAGAGATTTAGAAGTGGAAAGGATATATAGAGGTCAGCAAAATTATACCCTCACAACTACAGATGGAAACTAAGAAGGCTGCAGGGAAAAGGTCCAAAGATGGGGAGGTGTTTCACCAGTAGTCACACTACACAGATAGCTAAGAGGCAGGGCTGGAGTTCACACTCAGATCCTTTAGTGTTCTTTATACTATAGCAATCTGTACAAGGCTCTTCCTACAGAGGCCAGAACTGGCCCATCTCTAGAAGAAGTAGTTTCTTGTTTTCCAAGAATATGTGTGTGGTGACAGCAAAGTGCCACATTGGATAGAGCAATGGCTCTGAAGTCAGGAGGACCTGAGTTCAAA